ATTGGGGGGGGGGGGGAATTGACTGCTTTTCTAATTCTTAGCAAAAATAATGACCTTTCCCTTTATACACAAAACCTACCAAAGGAGTACTTAACTGGATATCTTCAAACCTCTGTTGTTTTGAGTGACTGAGGGGTTTTCGTAATCTTGTCAAATCACTTATCGTTTCTTTATCTTGTTTGGAAAAAATGCATGAACAGTTATCTCCTCATTTTGACGAATTTCAGACTGGCTAAACAACTGACATGGAGATCACACCTCGTCACTTGTATTTCATAACTAAACAAGGAAATGACCCTTAGGAATACCTCTTAGATGTGCCCTCCCCAACCTTTATGCAAACCAAATATACTTTCACCTGATGGGGGTGAGAGTGATTTGACAAGCAGGCTTTATATGGCTATAGTCAATTATTATCTATGTTTGTTTTTACAAGTCCTATGGAACTTGTTTTTTGGAAGAGGAAATGCAAGCAGATTGATGCCGTGTAGCCACTGTGATCTTAACTTCCAACAGGAAATACAGATCACATTACTCTTTTTAACTCTAGCAGGTTTCTGATGACTTGAGAGCAACTGAAGTTTGGCCACATAATAGTTGGTTCAAAAATTCAAACAATGAAAGATTTCGATCAATAAACATTTAAACACTATATACGACATAATTAACAGCTGACACAAAACAAATTTTTTGTTGCACTTGAGCAGAGCTACATGTAACGCAACCACCAAATATGGATAATATTCCTGACTACATAATACAAGTAAAAATTGATAAACCAAACAACAAATGAGAAGAGTAGAAAACTTACATATTGGCTGATTAACACTATTGCAATGTCCTCTCTTGTGGTGAATTCCTTAAAAGCATCTTCAATCTGCTTCACTGTTGTTTCTGAACATGAGGATAGGGAATCTATGTTACTTTCTTTCCATAATTTGGAACTTAGATAAGGACGAAAAGCTCTACCACTCACAGGAAACACCAGCTCCCTATAAACCATCCTTCACTCAGCAACTAAATTAGAAGTACTTTTTGAATTCATTACCAATAAAAGGTCAACCGGTTGGTTATAAATGTAGATTGACTCTATTCAGAGTCTCCTATATTAGTCTAGATGAGAGAGTTAGCAAAATAAATGCATGTACCATATGTATGTGGAATGTTAGTTAATTGGCCATGGAAGTCTCTGCAGCTGGAGCAATTTCTCAGCTGTCAATTCCCCTGAAGCTTTTTTGAACTTTGTTAGCTCCTTAACTTTAGATTAGCCTTCTGTAATAGAGCTAACAATGTCTTTTACTCATCTATGCTCTGTATATTTTGCATCTTCTTGATGTGTTCTTTGAAATCCATTATCTTATTAAAAAAATGATTCCTTAATATCACCGTCTTTCATCTGTTTCAAAAAAAATATGGACAGTCTTTTTTTGGATAACCATGGTGTCCGGGGCCAGCTTGCGCGCACCTCGGCTTATTCCATGGGATACCTGCCACCTCTCACCAACAGCAGGTACCAAGTAACACTGTCCACCAAGGCTAGGACAGATAGCGAGAAAGCACCTCGTGTTTTTGTCTCCGTTGGGATTTGAACCTGAGACTTCATGGTTCTCAACCACTTCAATAACCACTAGGCCACACCCTTGGGTGCTAATATACACTGCTTTCTCTTTCGAGTATTTCACAAAAGTGCATTTCTTATGGCGTCCTTAAATAGTACCTTGGTCTGCGACCTACAGTGATGCAGCATGCCAGTAAGTGCGTAGCTCAACAAGAAATTTCCTTGTCCAACTTCTAATGAATCAAGATAGCCGTTTGTTCCAGTATAAATAGTCATTATTTGCTCTTCTGTGGTGAGAGGAGTTGATTGAGATTGTTTAAGCAATTTACGTAATCGTTGACCTCTTGCCGATTGATTCTGACAAAATTGTCTCAAGCACCGACAAAACCGGAAGCAGCTCATCTTTCAAAGAGAGGACAGGTAAATCACATTTCATTTGATAGTCAAAGGAGGACATTCTTATAGTCATAATTGTTGTTATAATTACTGATTAGTTATATATAAAGTTGTATTTTATTATGTCATTAGGAAAACAAAGCTTGGAGATTCAAATCTCAGAAATACATTATGTTTCCTTCATTCCAATTTATTTGGCAGGTGTTTTACCAGACACGGATTTAAGAAACGGATGTTCTTTTAATGCATAAGCTAAATATTATGTGAAGTGCAAAAACTGCCGTTACTACCAACAATTCATATATATCTCTCCTCATGAAAAGGTGAACTTTTATATGAAATTGGGTCCAACAAGTTATGTCATTAAAGGTAAAATGGGGATAATAAGACTAACTATTTCCCCAATATGATATTATGAAATAAAACTACAATAATAAAGTGAAATTAAAAAAATGTAACTATGCAGAGATGAAAAAAGCTATCTACAGAATGAAAAAAAGGAACAATATTTTATTCTCCATAATCATAGGGGCATGACTTATCATGAAAAGGGAAGAGAGAAATGGTGAAAGAACTTTAAGGAACTGAGCATGACCAATAATTTCTGATATCTGATAACTTTTGAAACAGAGACTCCAGCTATAATTGCAATCCCAGAACTTCTGAATTTAACACTGTCAGTGGCTGACATCTCCAAGAAAATACCCAACACTCAATGTATTGCCATTGGTTGTCTTATTTACTTATTCTTCCTAAAAATACGGAAGGATATGCGATATGGATCTTTGTCCACTGAAGCATTCTCTTGCTTCTACCTTGGAGGGCACAGGATATTAAGGTACTCGCTACTTCAGTCCTTCATCTTGGACACTGATATCAGAAACTCCCTTTTTAGCTTGAGAACTTCATTTTACTAGGCGACTAAACAAAACGCCTTCATATATTTTGCACAGATTGTCATAGATTCATCTTCCCCTATCATATCCTCTAAGTTTCACATCACATGTATCTAAATATTCCTACCAATAGGAAGTGTAATGGATCTTGGGCCTAACTCAACCCCAAAAGCTAGCTTATAGGGTGAGGATTGTTCAAGTCCATATAAGGAGACCAACTGCCCATCCCTTTTTCGATGTGGACTTCTTAACACTCCCCCGAATGCCCAGACCGGGTTAACTGGAGCGTGGACAATATATTATGGGGGCCCAAGATCGGTGAACAAAGAATCAGGATGGACTTGACCCTGATACCATGTAAAGATGGATCTTGGGCCTAACTCAACCCCAAAAGCTAGCTTATAGGGTGAGGATTGTTCAAGTCCATATAAGGAGACCAACTGCCCATCCCTTTTTCGATGTGGACTTCTTAACACTCCCCCGAATGCCCAGACCGGGTTAACTGGAGCGTGGACAATATATTATGGGGGCCCAAGATCGGTGAACAAAGAATCAGGATGGACTTGACCCTGATACCATGTAAAGATGGATCTTGGGCCTAACTCAACCCCAAAAGCTAGCTTATAGAGTGAGGATTGTCCAAGTCCATATATGGAGACCAACTTCCCATCCCTTTCCCAATGTGGGACTTCTAAACAGGAAGCTAGTGAACCAGATGTAGCAGCAAAAATTACAACAACAACATACTAGTGTAATTCCACAAGTGGGATCCGGGAAGGTTGGTGTGTTTGCAGTCTTATACCTACCTTCTGAAGGTAGAGAGGTTGTTCCAATATGTAGCAAAAAAAACTATCATTTAAATTCCCTCCCCCAAATTTCAAGCTCCTTTGCCCACATTGATAAAAGAAACTAGCCGGTTGGAAGAGAATTTACTAATTTGGAAAATAACTAACCATGCTATTTTGGTGGAGAGTAGAAGCTACAGCAGAAAGTAAATGAAAGATCCTCAAAACTACTGGAGAACTGGTAATTCCAAAATTGGAACTTACTTGAATCCACAATAAGGTAATTTGTTTTCCTCCTCAAATCGACATTGCCAACTCCAGCCAGTAAAAATCCGGTAATTGTGTCCTATATAAACAAGTTATTTCCATCAGCATCAGTATGTCTAGATATCATCTATCACGTGCATGTAGACTAACATGCTATTCATCATAAAAGCCCCAGGACAGTAAGTGGGTAGTATTTCAAAGAACACTGGATAATTAGTTTACCAATTTAAGAAGTTGCATACCAAAACTTAATCAAACAACAGATGAGATAGATAATTGCTATCCTGTCTCCAAAGAGTTCTGACCGTACATATGATGCACAACATATACATGATTACGTCCCAACTAAAACCAGTGCTCCATCAGTCACATCAACTGTAAACTCACATCAAATATAATAACTCGTCCAAACCATCTTCTAATTAGTCCGTGCAAGCCAACTAAGGTTATAAAAGATGTGATGGATACGAGTATAATATACATGCTCAAGGATGACTGATGACCCCAAAGCATCTAGAGAAAGACACACTAGAGAATAACAACCAACAGCTCATCCGCAATGATAAGCTATTGATGTTTCTATTTCAGGAAGAGAAATGCCATGATTTTTTTAGTCAAAATTGGCTTTCAGCATTTTTCAGTCATCGCACTCCTGATCTGTGTGTCCATCAGTTTTTCACTTATCATCTTATATATAGCATAGTGAGTAACTCCCAGGCAAGAATAGTTTACTTGACTATATGGGACTTTGATACCCCAAAACCTGTTTCCTTGGAAAATCCATACACATCAATGATTCCAGCACCAAAGTACATGTCCTCTATTAGTATAGTGAAAACAAAGAAAAACATGGTTCGATCCCATTACTAATTGTCTGATACAATACAAATAGAGCATATCCTATCAATTCTAAGCATACATAGCAACACCCAAAGAACAAAAATGCTGAAAAGTTCACCTCATCAGCGATCATGGCAATGAGGGCTGAGTTGTTAGTTCTGACAGGAGCTCGGTTAGCCATCTAAGAAAGCAAGGTTTCTGCAACCACAGATAAACTATAATAAAAATAGTCATGATTCAAAAAGTAAGAATCTTGAACACATTGACAGATTCAGATATCAAATCAAATCTTAAACTATTAACAAACCACCAGCAGAAAAAGAAATCAGATTTAACTTAGCATAAATATTCAAAACCTAGAAATTTTCAGAACCCATCACTAGTTTTAAAGTTTGATGAAAACCCAGTAAGGATTTTCCTAAATTTTAAGTTGTTAAACAACAATCGAATAAATCAAGACAAATCAGATCGAAATCCTTTGAAATAACAAAATTGAACGGAAAAAATAAGCTTTCGAAGTTGTGAATGTAACCTTTTGCCAAGCTTACTTTGAAGTTTTTAGCCTTTGAGGGATCCAATCGCTCGACAGAGACGAATCGAAGAAACAACAAGGGGAAAAACTGATGATATTTGGATATTTGCTGTCGCTGATGAATAGAAACTGGAAACAGGAAGTTAAAAATGGAAAGAGTTGAATGTAGACTTTAAGCCCCAAGAGTTTTAAATTACGCACAACTGCCCACCTCTTTGGGGAAAGTGCTTAATTTTGCCCCTGTATTTTCAGAAATTATTTATATTTAACCTTCACTATACTTTTGGAACAAATACAGCCCTACAATTATACTTTTAGAATAACTATACCCCCTATTGTTAACAAAGTTATTTAAAATAACTCTTACTTCTATGACTTAAACTTTAAAAATAACGAAATTATAGTATTATTTTTGTATCACATTGAGGGTGAGATAGCAATCTCGAGATAACTAATTTTGGAACAACTTGTTTCCCAACCAATTGAGTCACAAGGGTAATGGTGTAAGTAAATTATTTTTAAAAAATTAATCAACAACTTACGCAACGCACATGCATCAAAACTAGTGACTATATAAAAACATAGAAATGAGAGTGGAACTTTTTTGTTATAATCAAATCTTATATAATGAGTAGAAAGATTAACTTTTAGCTATCTTTTATGAATAATTAACATATATTTGTGTCTTTGAAATCATAACTCAATTATGTCTCGTGCTGCAAGAACAAAAATAATGTTATAAGAAAAGCAAGAATAGTATATACTGATTAAGAAATATTTTAGTAAAGTATTATATATGAAAAGTTAACATGATTTTTTTTTGTAGTATAGTATATATGAAGGACTAAAACATTCATACACTTATATATTAAGGACCATTTGGATTATTTTCATCTTGACAAACCACCATTCATTTGGTGATGATGATGTTGATGTGCAAAGGGGTATGGCCAAGCAGCTCATCCATTGTTCTGTTGCAGCCAGTGGCGGACCCAGGATTTTCGTTCAGGGGGTTCAAAAAATAAAAGTATAAACGTGTATATATAAGCCAACAAAACAAAATTTCAAGAAAGTAGTAGTATTTAGTTTTAGTGGTGGACCCTTGAATTTTTTTGGGTTTAAAACCACACTTTTAGCATGTTTTATAAAATAAAAAACAAAAAAAAACGTGAAAACGGAACTGAAACCTTAAAAAAAAACAAAAAAAAACTGAAATTGAAAAAGAAAAAAATAAAACGCTACTGCAGGGATTCGATCCCTCAACTTGAGACTTAATTTTCAGGGAAAATACCACTAGGCTATCTCTTTCTCCTTGTCATTGAGGGGGTTCAAAATATATATATTCAAAATAAATACAGAAAATTACCTTATATATACAGTGTAATTTTTTGCCGAGGGGGTTCGGGTGAACCCCCTGGAACCAACGTGGGTCCGCCCCTGGTTGCAGCCACCAAATGGACACAGATCCTTCAAAACCCAAGCTAGCTTTTCTAGCTACCCTCTCGCCAGCAAAGTTATGGTTAGAAGTAAGCAATTTACTCCCTCCTCCTTATATTTAACATTTAATATCAACAACTGTACTTTATCCCAAATGATAATTTCTGAAATGGGTGAGGAGATAATCTAGATATCTGTTTTACTAGGTTAAGTTAACTAGATGAATTTGATTCATGTAAGGTACGATATATGAGCCTAATTTTAACTTCAAAAGCCAATTCATGAGAGGAGTTTACCTGACTCTCATATATAACACCTGGGCCTAACTCAACCCCAAAAGCTAGCTAACGAGGGGAGTATTTCCCAACTCCATATAAGCATATCACCAGTTCATTCCCCAACCAATATGAGACTCTAACCCACTCTAACATTTTACTTTCTAGTTGGCCCAGATTTACTTCCCTGCACAATGTTATTGCTACTAGAAAAAGAAAAGTTGCTTGTTAAACTAAAAGAACACATCTGAAAGATGATATTAGCTTCTTACTGGTAGCTTGGATCAGATTGAAAGTTTACTGCTTGAATCAATAATACAGTGGATGATTGTTTTTGAACTTGTCTAAGCTTGGATACAACATCTGTAGGTCAAAGCTGAAAAACTTTATTGACTCCATAGTATCTTTTCCAAGAAAGGGTGGGCAGAAATGAAATCAAAGATAGAAATAAGTTTGCCTTGGATCCTTATTGGTGGAATTTCTTGTAGTCTGAGTACTGCTTGGCACCAGTAATTACAACCCACATTGCTTATTTGCTATTCTGATCAAATAGTGATGTAGTGACTAGTGATAAGCTATGTTGCTTGGACTCTTCAAAAATGTTGACGGGTGCGTGTCGAATTCTCCAAAAGTAGTGTATTTTTGTAGAATCCGACACAAGTGTGGCATCAAAAGCAAAGAGTTCGCGCAACTTAGGTGATAAGCCTCATAATATTGTATGTTCCTTTATACATTATCTTGACTCTGCAATATTGCGATAATCCTAACTAATAAACCTCTTAGGAGTTGATGTTTCTTTATGTTATATCTTGTCTCTGCATTCTGGTACTAGTACAAAGCAGACATTGCAACATTGTATATTTGATAAGACCGTCAATCTATCATTGTAAAGATTCAGGATTTTGAGGTTTTACTGCCTATATAGTAGTGTTGCATTTTCCTGTTTCACATGGATGATAAAAGCTAGTGATGCTCTTCAATAGTGGTGGTGGTATATGTAAATCTTATCAGCTGCTTTAGACTTCATGATTTCAAGTCTACAATTATGCTGCTGCTTGTTGAAGAAGTTGCTCAAATATGCTAGGTCTAGACATTTACGTGGTTCAAACTGTGCTTCAGGCTGAATAGAATTCAGATCTTTGGTCCGAGTAGTTATGATATTTGATGAAAAGTAAACACTTCATGTTATTGGGTAACGTCCCACTTCTTGAGCTTAAAGGGCATGAAATTAAAAAGGGGCTACAGGCTTGTAGTGATTCACCTAGTCATTATTTTAAATATACTGTACCTGGCTATAGCTCCCACTATAGTTGGCAAAGAAGTAAAATATTAGAAAGCAATTCCAATGTAAACTGCATTCTGACTATCCTCGACATTCCAAGGTAGTAAGAAGAGTATTGTTATCTGACTACTGAAAGCAGTCACTGGAGATATTTGCTTGTAAAAGATCAGAAAAAAGAGAGGAAAAATAGAAGAAAGAATGAGGCTATGTAGAAGGAGATAAGTATCTCCATGTAATGCTGTAAGTTTCCCTTTAGGAACTATATGTTCAGTATCATTTTAGCGAGAAAATGTTGACTTCTAGTGTTGTAAACTCGAAGGTTTTCTATTTACTAATATACATATACTGGAAACTTACTTAGTGCTGCTCAATGAAGAGTCCAGAATTTTCCTCTTTGATGCCTCTAAATGATAGGTTCCATATTTAACTAAGTTAAAATCCAACCTTAAAGTATTAAGCTATCATTGCACTAATTATAGTTCTCCATTGACCAAATTGTAGATGTAATGAATGTCAAGTTTTGATAAAAAAGATAGTTTTGAAACACTGAAATGTTAAGACTTTTTTCTCTTTAACCCTTATGCTACAAGTTCAGAATTCACTTGCTGTCTTAGATATATCACATGTTTTTCATTCAACGGTTGTGGTTCTCTAAATTTCCAAAATTTCTGTCTTATTTTTGAACCATAGATCTATCATACTCCACTGATGAAAGTTGTCTGGAGAAAATATTTTCAAATTTTGGTCATGTTGCTGAAGGTATGTGCCGTTGCTTGAAGATAATTTTTCTTATCTATTCTCCTCTTTCTTGTAGTTGAGATTGTGACCTGCATTTTTAAATGTATCTACTTCCCTTATCAGTTAAGATTGTCAAGGATGAAGTGACCAGGAGATCAAAGGGATATGCTTTTATTCAGTACACTTCTCAAGAAAATGCCATGCTTGCTCTTGACAGCATGGATCACAAGGTTATACTCAATAAATTTGTTTTGGATTTTTAATTCCTTTCACAGTATGTCTTCTTCGTCACGTTCTTTCTTCCCTTGTCAGTACCTCAATGGCAGGGTTATTTCTGTGGAACTTGCGAAGCCTACAAAGAAAGACTTTGGCAGATACCCAAAAAGTTGTGGACCACCTGTGGAAAGATTACCATCTGAAAACGAAGTTCCAGACCTAAAAGAAAACTGCTAAGGTAAGGCTTACGCTAGTGTTAGAATGTCATTCATTGATAGGTGAATGACAGTTCCACAAATCATCATTCTGGAAACTACTATGATGCAGCTTCGGGTGGACTTGATAAAAATTCTGTTGTGTAAAACTTCACTCTTAGGTCATTCCTACAGGCTACAGGACTAGTTTACTTGTTCTGTCATCGCACCCTGTGTTTTGCATGTAAGCCCACATATATATTGTGTTTGTTCTCTGAGGCATGGCGCGTTGCATGTCAGTCCAGGTCAATTACTTCATACTAGAAGAGGCTAAGTGTACTTTCAGTCATCTTTCAAAACCTGTACTTAGAATCATGTATATTAAATCGCAAGACTTGTGCTTTGTCAACTTGATGTAACTAGTTTGATGGTCAGGTTCTGCTAGTATATATGTATTTTGAGTTTTTACGCGGTGAAAATGGACTATCATGATGTACTTTAGGCTGCTGCCAAGGGTTTGGAAGTTGCCCTGGAAATAAAGGATTCAAAAATTAGTATTCATCGAAATGTGCCTTACATGCATGTCTTAACACTCCATTAATTGGAACAGTAAAGGGTAGATATTGAAAAAACTATTTAAGTGACTTCTCGGTTCTCTCAACCGTCAAATATTTTGAAATAAATTCAGTTTTGCCAAAACGACTAATATTTGGGATCGAATGTATTAAAGTGAGTTATTTTTCTATGATGGATGATGGAACAGTTGAGTGGGGCTAGAAAGGTTAGTATCAATAACTTGTGAGTCACAAGTTTGTGACAAGGACTTGCTTGTTGCATTATAAGCTGCTTTTATGTAATTGATTGGATTGTCGAAAGGATATTGTTGACAGTAATAATATACCCAATATAATCTTATATAAGTGAGGCTTTGGGAGGATAAAGTGTATGCAGACTTTACCCGTCTCTCTCGTGGAGGTAAGGAGGTGGTTTTGAAAAGACCCTCGTGCTCAAGTGTAACAAATGAAAGTAACTATGAAAAAGGAAATACAACGATGAAGAAGACATGTCACTTGATTAGAAAAGGAATACAAAATGTTTCGAAAAAAGAATAGTAACAACAACTAAATAATGTTATAACTAAAACACAATAGATAATATTTATGGTAACAAATATCAAAAGCAATCTACTACTAATATATACCACGACATACATGGTGCTATATACTATATATCAAACTCTCACTGAACCTAATCCCATTGAAAAGCAAGATATATAAAACTCAACTACCTACACTACCTACATGTTTTCTCTTTGATCCGCAACCTTCATACCTTCATATCTAAAGTCATATTCTCTGTAAGATTAAATTATGTCATATCATGTCATACCTTATCATATTTCTCTTCAATACTTTTTCGGCCTACTTTTACCTTACCTCATATCCACTATATTTAACGTCTTACACCTCCTCATTTAATGTATGTACATCTCCTCTTCACGTATAAAAAGATATTGTTGATCAACTTTAGTTTAATCAAAGCATATCTATTATGACCAAGACATGGATACATGCCTACAATGTGGAAGCCCATCAAGTTGAAAGACCCCTTTGAAGTATTCTTTTTGAATATTTTTAGAATATTCTTCTGAAGCTTCTTTTTTTCTGGTGCTCCGTGTTGGAGCTCGTTCTGACTTAGTAATATTTTTTTCGAATAAATATATAAATACTCCACGCTTGGAAAATACTAAGAAAAATATCTTAATTAATTTATAAAAATATTTGTCTACGCATCTTTTTTTTCTTTTTTTTTTTAAATGTCACACTTAATTAGCGCTTCATTTTTTTGGACTATAGAGCGTAAGACCATCTCCAATTCACCTCTATTTTATTCTTCATTTTCTTTATTTGAAAAATAAAATAGAGAATGAGCTCTCCAACCACCTTTCATTTCACTCTTTATTCTCCACTTATAAAGAGGTGAATAGTAGTTCTCCAAATTTTGGAAAAACTACTATTCACCCTCTCTATTTTACTTTTTGATGTTTTATTTATATTTCTATTATTTTATAATTAACACATTATTTTTCATATAAGACCATTAATTAAATATTTAATATACATCATTCTTTTTAAATGTAATATAATATTTTAAAAAATATATTATTTAATACATACTATTTTCATCTCGAATTAATAATAATATATATATTTTTTAAAATTCTTCACTTTAATATGATTTGATATTATTATAATTATCTGTCACTATGATGAATGCACAAAATTAAAATAATAAGATGAAATTTTTAATTTAAAAATACAATACATAACATAATAACGAGATAACACAATAGGTAACATAATAATTTTATCACAACAATTTTGGTTGCAATTTATGTCCACTAATCTATATATTATATAATTTTTATTTGCAAGTATGTTATTTAGAAATTTTAAATAAAATAAATTTTTAAATAAAATAAAAAAATTTAAAAACTAAAATTTATATTACATGAAAATTATACAAAGTGATTATTTGAAAAAGAAAGAAAGAAAATTATATTATGAAATAAGAAAATTAACATGAAATTAAAATAATAATGATAATAATAATATAATATGGAGGAGAGGAAAAAAAGATTCTTTTTTAGAGAGTAAAATAGAGAATTGAGTTGGAGTTGATTGTTTGAAAAAATAGAGAATTATATATGTGGATAGTAAAATAGAGGATAGATTAAGAGATGCCCTTGAGTGATAGCTTAAAAAAAAGATAGAGTTGAAGATGCCCTTAAGGGATAGCTTAAAAAATGACATATTTTAAAAGGCTAACAAAAATTAAAAATAGTATGATAAACGACTTATATGTGCTCTTTTTTTATCTTACTTGTACGGTAGATTATTTATCACCATAACATCGATACTAATATAAGTATTTTATCATAGTATTCATATTAATTAATACGTATATAGTTTTATGTCTTAAAGAATGATTTGAGAAATAAGTAATTAATGCTAAGGATAAAATAAAAAAGACTATATTTTTTTTGTAGGTTAAGAGTTAATATTTATTTTTAAAATAATGGAGAAGGAAAAAATAAAAATCCAATCTAAATCATAGTACTGTACTATGTAATCCAGCATTGGTCAAAATTAAAGGAAGTACTTTATTACATGAATTAGTGCCACACATTTCAATGTCAAATAATTAAAGTGAAAGTGATAGCTTACATTGGTCCCTATCACACAAATATTTACTTTTAGAATTACTTATTCAATAAATATTTACCTTTAGAATTACTTAGAAAAATTAATACTTTCTTAATTATTGAAAAAATAATTAGTCTAAACCAAATTAAATAAAACTTATTGAAAGTAGATGCAATTTATTTTTCTGAAATAAAACCTTAATGTTTCGAAGTTACATAAAGGTACAACAAAATGGAAGTTTTTAGTTTCCACTTTTATTATAGTGTACTCCATTGTATCAAAATATTTATCATTGTTATGAAAAATATTTATTTTAAAATACGTATCATTCTAGAAGTTTAAAACAATTTTTAAAATTTTATATTATCCTTAATAATAATTATTTTTTAAAACTACAAACACTTCACAATTTTAGCACATAAATAGAATAATTATTCAATAAAAAATAAATAATTAGATACCCCTCTTAATTATTTTTTTCTAAAAGGACATGTAAATGAAAAAACATGATAAAGAATTTTAAAATGAAAGAGTAATTTAACTGGATATTAAAATTTAAAATTGTAACCCTCTCCAAGAGAATATTTATCTTGTTACAAATGGGATATCCTCTTCTCATGGTTCAACTCTTATCTCAAGATGTTAAATGCATGCGTTAGGTACTACTATCATTTAATTTTTTTAAAACTCTCTCTCGATCGATACTATTTTGAAATAATAAAATAATATCGAAGCTTGAAATAGAATTATAATATTCAAACAGATTATAGTCACAAATCGACACAACTTCAACAATCCTAAGTACTTATTTCTTAAACTTCATCCTATTTTTGGATCGTTATCAAAATTTATTTTTATCTTGATTCTTTATAGAATGCTAAAGTTAAATCATTACAAGCTAATTGAATGTCAATATCAAATATCAACACACAAAATAAACGAAACAATGAAATTGTTAAGTTAAATTTTCTTGATTATAACTATGAATTCTAAATACGACTAATAAAGGAAGACCAAAAAATTGCAATAATATATCCAAATAATGAAATAATGATAAGTCAAATCTCCTTGACTGTAACTACGAACTCCAAATATAACTAATAAATGTCTATTTTTTTTCTAAGAAAAGCAAAAAAGTTTGCAGTAATACATGTGGATTTTATGTGGAAACACAAACTTAAATCACATATCTTCCTTGAGAAAATGATCAAAATGGCCCTTCATTGAATTATTTTGATCCTTTATATATATCACTTTATCTAAATAGTCCTTAATATATATAAAAAGACAATTATTTTAGTCCTTAATCCTAAAACTAACCAAAAAAATAAATAAAAATGGTTAGATTTAATCGTGGGTCCCACAGAATTGATAGATGGCAAACCCTTCTTCCTCAATCTGCTTTCTTTCACCATTACCACCGCAGACCCGTCTCCTCAACTTCTTTCTTTCGCCATTTTCTCTCCTGCTTTATATCTTCATAAGAAAAATACTACACACCTCATCCATTTTTAACTCCATTGAAGCAAAATTTTCAGAAGCTTCCATTATCCTACATAAAGAAGAAGAAGAAAATCAAGATCATTAAAACAAATGTAAACTAAGTAAATTAAATAAAAGACTCCATTTTTTCTCTCTTGTTGAAGCGATCTATGGGGAGGATTATAGCTTTTCTTTTCGTTTTTTCCTTTTCAAAATTAGTAATTTTTTCAAGTCATTTTTTTCATTCTATTTTTAAAATTAAATGGTAACATTTTAACGGGCATAGATAAAAAACAAAAACCTTACGAATATTCTTTGAAATTTGAAGAAACTTTTGTGTGTATGAGAAGATTTTGGGAGCAGAAATCGTAGAAGAAATAGCAAAAGAAAAAAGATGAAGGAGAAGCAATGGCGGAGAAAGAGGGAGGAAGAAGAGTTGGGACCCACCATTAAATTTAATACTTATTTTTATGTTTTCAATTAGTTTTTAGGGCAAGGATCAAAATAATATACTCTTTATATATACATTAAAGACTATTTAAATAAAATGGTATATATAAAAGACCAGAATAATTCATATAGGACTATTTTTAATAGTTATTTTTATATTTTCAATTAGTTTTTAGGGCAAGGATCAAAATAATATACTCTTTATATATACATTAAAGACTATTTAAATAAATGATACATATAAAAGACCAGAATAATTCATATAGGACTATTTTGATCATTTTCTCTATCTTCCT